TTACCTTATATTTGTTTTTTCATAAACTTTGTATATGCTTACATGTGTATGCATTCTCACCTCCCCCAGCTTGTACTTGTAACTTGAATTTTTTTTTTATTCTAAGTATGTCTTTACCTTTATTCTCATTAAATTTCATCTTACTAGATTCAGACCAACATTCCATCTTGTTGAGCTCTTTTTGGATCCTATGACCCAACATGTTACTAAACCCTCCTTGCTTACATCATCTGCAAATCTGATCCAATTTAATTCAACAAATATTTATGAAGTGTTTATACTGTACAAGGCACCCAAGCTAAACTCTGGTGATACAAAGACAAAATCTAAACAATTTCTGGCCTCTGGGGCCTTATATTCTACCATATTCCCTCTAGGACTTCATCTAATCCACAGATAAAACTGTCAAACACCACGGGACTAAGGCTAGATTCCTGGGGCACTCACTACCTTAGAGTCTGAGCACTGAAACTTATCAAAAACGGCCAGGTGCTCTTACTATCTCCCTACTCTTTGAAGGTTTCAATTCTCTATTGTCCATTTCTCTTCAATTTTTTCTAGTCAAAAATCATTTTCCTTTGCAGAGACAGCAGAAATAAGACAAGCAGTGAGTAATTCCAGATTCACTAGGGAATACAGAGCTGGCCTCAGATCCCAGGAAGATCTGGGTACAAGCGCCACCCTTGAAACATGCAGGCTGTATGACAAATCACTTAACCTGGCATCGCTCTGGGCAATACTCTAAAACCACAAGGATGCAGAGAAGATGACCCTCAGGAGGAGAGGGAGTGTCCTTATCTGAAAATCCCCTACGTCAATGAAATCACAGATCCATTCGTTATCTCTTGGTCATCCATTGGGACTGTCTCATCTGCCTAGAGAAGCAGCAGCCATCATCATCATCATCATCAATACTAGCAAATACCTAACATTTACATAGTGCCTTCTATGTACCACACTGCACTAAGCGCTGTAACAATTATTATTATCTCATTTGATCCTAACAACCTTGTAAAGGAAGGCGCTACAGTTATCCCCCATTTTACAGATGGGAAAATTGAGGCAAACTGAGGGTCAGTGACTTCCCCAGGGCCAGATTTGAATTGGGGCGCATTATCTGTTGCCTCAAATGTTTGCTAAATGAAGCTGTATTGCATCCAGAAGAGGATAGGAGGAACCTGAAGACTTTTTCCATATGAGAATCAATTAAAGGAGCTAGATACATTTAACAATTGGCCTGAGAGGGGCATAATATCTGCCTTCCAGCGTTGGAAGGGCTACTGTATCACAGAAGGGTTAGACTTGCTTAGTTGGGCCTCCCAATGCACAACTAGAAATAATGTTGTGTGTGGGAGGACAGAAGTTACAGGGAGGCAGAATCAGCTAAATATAAGAAAAAAATTCCTTACAACTGGAGATAACCAACTGTGGAATGGGCTGACTCAGAAGAATGAGTTTCCCATCACTATGAAGGCTGGATCACCACTTGAGAGGGAAGTTGTAACAAAGTAGGGATTGAACCCACTGAGGTCTCTTCCTGGGCTGGAGTTCTTCATGCCAAGGGGCTAGCAGACGTGCTATGTGTCTGTATTTGTGTCCCAACACTGTACACTTGGGTTGTCCTGTTGATATCTGCATTGGGCCATCTCCATAGGCAGGGCCCAAATGCTCTTCGAAAAGATGATGACTCATTCCATTCTCAAGAGCTCACCCTAACCAGCGAGACTTGATGTCTCCCTCACCTGATCTCAATAGCATTTTTTGTTTGTTTGTTTTTATTTTTGCTAGGCAATGGGGTTAAGTGACTTCCCCAGGGTCACACAGCTAGTAAGTGTCAAGTGTCTGAGGCCAGATTTGAACTCAGGTCCTCTTGACTCCAGGGCCAGTGCTCTATCCACTGCACCACCTTGCTTAGCATTTTAAACTCTTGTGCACGTATCACATTCTGATTGGTATCACACTCATCTGTACCCATGTTTGATCTCCCCCTTATTCAGGGGGGGTCCTGAAGCTATCTTGTTAAGTTTTTACTGGGAGCACTGAAACCTTGGAAATTAGCAAAAGCTACAAATCAGGGCTTGATTTAGTACTTGTTTGCTCATCTAGACTTAAGAAAGTGAAGGAGAAAACACTAAGAACGCATATTAAACTTAAAAGTATGTGGCACATTTTTAGAGAGCTGGATGTTAAACATTTACCAGCAGACCACTGTCCTTATTCAATAGCATCATGCAGTGGTTTGTGGTAGTGGTATTAGTGGCGATGGTGGTAGTAGAAGTAATAGTAACAACAATAATAATAGCTAGCATTTATATAGCACTTTAAGGTTTGTCAAACACTTTACAAATACTATCTCATTTGATCCTCACAACAACCCTGGGAGATAGGTGCTATTATTATCCCCATTCCACAAATGAAGAAACTTAGGTTCACAAAGATGAGCTGACTTGCCCACAGTCACCCAGCTAATAAGTATCCAAGGTGGGGTTTGAACTCAAGTCTTCCTGGCTCCAAATCCAGTGCCATATCTGTATTCCCTGTTGCCTATCGCAGAAAGAGAATTGAAGTTGACATCAGAAAACCTAAGCTTGGATCGTAGCCCTATGAGAACTTTAGCTATGTGACCCTAGGTAAGTCACTGGGTCTCATCTGTAAAATCAGGAGTCCCTTCTAGTCTGGAGGACAGGAAACTGGACTTCCTGCCACTGACAATGAGCAAACCAAAGACACTTAGAAATTTTGTTAAATGAACACATTCTATAGGATGACTGATCATTCTAACTCATTCTAGTTTGGATGTGAATCATCATCATCATCATAGCCTCCTACCTGGTCTCCCTGCCTCTAGCCTCTCCCCTCTCCAGGATATTATTCACAGAGCTGACAAAACAATCTTCCTAAAACCCCCTGCTCTAATCACATCATTCTCTTATAAAAATTTAAAAAAAAAAAACAAACTAAAGTGAACTTTCAGTGGCTCCCTATTACCTCCAGAACTAAAGAAAAACTTCTTGAGCCTGCTATTCAAGGTCCTCTACAACCTGACTCCAACATACCTTTCCAGCCTTCTATCACATTCCTCACCTTCACACACCCTATATTCTGACCCACCTAGCCTGCTCACCACTCCTTTAATTCATCCTGACTTTCCCAGCCTCCATGTATTTGCTTATGTTGCCCTTTCCCCATTGGCTAGAATGCACTCCTTTCAAAATCATATTCTTCCTTCAAGGCCCAGCTCAAACACCACTGCCTCATGCTGAAAACCAGCTCTTCCTTCTCAAAATTTCTTAGAGCACTTTGCTTGGATCTCACCAGGGCCTCTATTCTCTTCTTTGTATCATAGTTATTTGTACACCACTCATGGCCTTTCCCCCCACTAGATTATAAGCTCCCTGAGGGCAGGCAATGTGAGGGGTTTTTTTTTTTTTCCCCATCTTTGTATTCCCTACACATAATAAGTAATTAATAAATGTTCACTGTTTTGAACAGAACTGAATTGATGCCCAGGTCTCAACCACCAGCAGCAACACACTGAGCTTCACCCATTCCCCAGGCAGATTGAGCTAGGCTGGGCAGGCCAGTACCTTGGCATGACTCATTGTGAAAAACACAAACACAGACTCCCAGCCACAAACTAGGATGAACTGCCAAGGTAAAACATAATGGGAGAGCATGAGCTGTGTGAATACTGTGCAAATCTAACCCAGGCCCAAAGTCAGGAACTGACAGAAATTAGGTTAAAAAAGATTGTTTGTCTGAGAATTAAGTGACCTGGGTTCTAATCTCATTTCTGCCACTACCTCTGTGTGACCTGAGGCAAGTGTCCTTCCCTCTCTGGACCTCAGTTCCTTCATCTATAAATGAAGGGGTCAGACTCCACTAAATGGTTTTTAAGGCCTTTCCTATTTTAATGTTCAACATTCTATGTTCCAAACATCCTTTTCATCTCCAACATTCTGTGTTCTTTCTTCTAAGGATCATTAGAACCTTAAAAGTTTAAGCTGTAAGGTCTAAATTTCCTTCTAGCTCTGACATTCTTTGTTTTACATTTTAAGGGCTCTCCCATTTCTGATATCCTATATATATTCTCTCTCTCTCTCTCAATACATATATATACATATATATACATCTATACATATGTTTATATGTATATATACATCTATATACATCTATACACATATCTCCTACATATATATCTCCTATATACTATATACAAATCCTATGTACTATATATAGTATACATTATATAAACTACATATTCTAAAGGTCCCTCCAGCTTTAACATTCCATGATCTTTGTTCCAAGGTCTCTTTGAGCTGGCATTTTAGGATAGCTGTACTAAATTTCTGGCCTCCTCCCTTCTCTATAAAATGAGGGAGTTAAGCTAGATTGTCTCTATAGCAACTAGAAGGATGGTCCATTCTAGAACCCATTTTCAATGAGCTTCACAATCCAATGCAGTTCCATTAGCTTTCCCAATTCAAATTTGCACTTCTTGAGCATCATGACTTCATTATCTAATAGAAATTATGTGATAAGCTAATTATTCATTCTCTCTCTTGCCCCAGTCTCTAACTCAGTTCCCCTCCAGAAAATGCATCTGTGTTTTATTCTGTAGGGACAGCCATGGTTACCGTAACTGTCAGTATGTAACTGCCCCTTTTGACAGCAGCTAAAAGACTGAGAATTAGAATCAGCAGGCACCAAAATCACAAAATCTCCGACCAGGAAGGGACCTCCGAGATTCCACCCCAAACCAACACTACATCAGAAGTGCCACCAATAATATACTAGACAAATGGATATGCTTGAAGCCCTCCAAGTGATAAGGTAATCACTGCCTTCTGGAGCATCTCACCCCATTCCTTTAAACATGGGAGCACACTGATCAGCACTCTCAGGGGGTCAGCTGACACAAGAGGCATCGGAAGGCTGAGTTTTCAATGAAAGACCCATTCCATTCAAGAAAACCAGCCCTTCCATCAAGTCACACTTACCTGAAGCATCAGTTCACAGTCATCCCGGCCAACAAATATCATTTCTCTTGGCAGCCTGTGGCGGGTGCCACTGCTGCTCACCAGAAACCATGATGTCACACTCATCTTGTTAGCTGTCACTTCCTCTTTGAGCTTTCTGAAATAAAAAAAGGGCAGGGGGAGATATTGGACCTTAAGACCTAGGTTCAAATCCTGGTTTTTTCACTTACTACTTGTGAAAGCATGAGAAAAATCACTTAACCTGAATCTCAGTTTCCTCATCTACAAAATGAGATTAGCCTAAATTAGTGGTGTCAAACTCAAATAAAAATAGATCCCTGCAGACTTTACACTGAATTAGAAAACCACAGATTAACATTAGCTATATTGTATTATGGGCAACTAGGTGGCAAAGTGGATAGAGTACTGGGCCTGGAGTCAGAAAGACTCATTTTCATGAGTTCAAATTTGATACTTACTAGCTGTGTGATGCTGGACAAGTCCCTTAACCTTGTCTGCCTCAGTTTCTTCATCTAGAGACGGACAACGAAATGGCAAACCACTCCAGTAAGCCAAGAAAACCCCAAATGGGGTCACAAAGAGTCAGACATGTCTGCAATGACTGAACAACAATAACAACATGTTGTATTGTATTTTTTTTAAATTCTCAATTACATCTTAATCTGATTCCCAATGACTGCAGTATTTTTCAGTCCTGGAGGGCCCCTAGTTTGACATCTCTGGCCTAAATGATCTCTAAGGTCCCCTCCAACTCAAAACCTTATAATTCATTCATTCAACAAATATTTATTGAGCACCTGCTGCATATAAAGCCTCCTTCTTCAAAGTGACATAAAGTTTAAATAAAGCAAGCTCCCTGCCCTCACAGAGCTCACCATCCAGTAGGGACACAAACCCTGATCACTATAATAAACAATCTTACATGATAAGTGCATTATAGGGATCTTATGTGATTCCTACAACCCAGGATGGCTTCCTGCCAGGGAGGAAGCAGGGCCAGCATAGGGACAGAAATGAGTAAGGCTTCTGCTCATAGCTAGATGTATACCTTGAGGCCAGCAGGGAAGATGAGAACCAGCAATTCTTAGCTTAAATGTTATACAAAAACAAATCGTAGGATATGGACTATTGGTTGCAGCTTACTAACCCCCGTGCTAGATGGCTTCTAAAGTCCCTTCAGCTCTAAATCCTATGTATGATATAGAAAAAAGCCTTCCACTCCTTAATACACCTTATTCTCCAGTAGCACCAAATATATATATATGTATGTATGTATGTATGTATGTATGTATATATGTATATATGTATGTATGTATATATGTATGGATGTATATCTTTGATCAAGACAAACTCATGTAGAACCACTGCCTAGGGCTTACCTACTCTCTCAGGGACTGCCAGTCCCCAAATGAGGCCATAGAGTGGAGGCCAAGGACCCTCAGACATGTTTCACCCTGTTCTCTGCTATGAAAGAAGAAGAGCTCACAGAGAGCTCGTAATTGAGGGAGGAGGAGAAGCATGAGACTGAAATTCTGCCCTTGGGGATTGTGGTCCCAGTGTGAGTAAGGATCCAGGTTTCACCCTCAGGAAACACCCTAGTTAATGGACAATTCATGAGGAAAGGAGGGGAGTGGGTATGCCTTGTAATTGTAACTGAATAGAGGGTTAGAGGAAAGATCATTGAGGCTGGGGATAAGCAGGGGAAGATTCTGAAAGGAAATGAGACTTGAGCTATTTCTTGAATGAAGGTCAGCATTTGGAAGCAGAAAAACCACATTCTAGCCCAGTGTATGTCTTGGATGATAGTAGGGGAGTCTCCCTAATTTTGAGGATTGTAAAGAGACCAGACAATCTTAATTCAGTAATAGGATCATAGAGGGGATTTAGAGCTGGAAGGGGCCTTAGAAATTAACTAATCATGGACTCCTAGGATTTAGAGCTGGATAGGACTTTAGAAGCCATCTAGAGCAGGAGTTAGTAAGCTTCAACCAAAATACCATATCCTACCATTTGTTTTTGTATAGCACTTAACCTGACAATGTCTTTTACTGTAGTTTGCCGAACTCCTGATCTAAACCTGCTTCCTATTTTTACAGATGACGAAACAGAGGTCCAGAATGGTCCAACATGTAGTGCTCTTTCCACTGTTTCTCGCTTCCCCCTTTTAGTATGTAGGTAAACTGAGGCCCAACAAGGTGAATGACTGCCCCAGGTCATACAGAAAATAGCAGAGAGAGATTCAAGCCTAGAGTTTTTCTCCTCTTCTGCTCTTAGATCATCACTAGCTTTGACTCCAGGTCCAATCTGGTACCCAACACACCAGACTGGGTTATGGGTCATGTTTCTGCCCTTGCCTCTCTCACATTTAGGCATATTAGAAATTGATTCAGCAAGACAGAGGATATACGGTGATGTAAGAAACAGAAAACATCAATAAAAACTTATTTTAAAAAAGAAAGTGATTCAGTAGGAAAAGAGTTGTCTTAAAACCCTGGTTAAAGCCAAATACTACCTCTACAGGCCTCTTTCTTCCTTTTGACCAAAGGAAGCATCTAGTTCTCTCTCATTCAGATCTCCTGTGTGGGGGAGGGGCATGCTCCTCCCTGAAGGCCCCTGAGCCTGGTCCCACCTTGTTCTCCCCTCCACATACCCTGGGTAAGGGCCTCGAGCCTCAGAGACACCCAGCATCATGAGCCAGCCAAGGGCTGGAGTAACTCTAGCTCCTGCCATGGAACATCAGCTGATAAGCATGGTCAGGCCTGTTGTCCAGGAGGGGGAGTGGGTTGGAGGTTATCAAGAACACAGCTTCATTGAACACAGGCCTTCCTATTTAACGTGAACGGTTCTGTACTGATACCGTCTGATAATTCACTCCAGGAAAAGCCAGGAGAGGCACAGTAGCAAGCACTGAAATCATCACAACAGCCTTGTGATGCCTGCCAATTCAGCTGCCTGATCATTTGGGGACCAGGAAAATTCCCAGCCCACCCCAAGCTTCCTAGGGGCCAAGACCCTAGTCCAGAGTGCAATGCTGCTCTTCCATCACTAGGACAATGAGTCTGGCCTAAATTAACAAGACTCCTTCCTGGCTCCAGTCCAACCAGGACCCACAGATGACTTGACTATATTATGAGAGTAGCTGACATTTCTACAGTGCCTTATGGATTATAAAGGAGATAGAATAAGGATTGGACTTATTTCATTGACCTTGGTGAGGAAACTCCCTCTACCATGTAGGCCAGCACCACCTTTTTAGTTTATAATCCTAGATAGTATCCTAGGTGACTTGTCCAGAGTCATACAGCCACTGTGGGTCAGAAATAGGACTTGGCTCTACAGCCAGCTTAAACAAAAACAAGACAGTCCATCCCTGCATCTCTAGCTGTCCCCCATGCCTGGAATGCTCTCCCTCCTTATTTCTGCCTCCTAAGTGCCCCAGACTTCCTTCACCTCTAATAGCACTTCCTTGCTTCCAAGGCTCATCTCAGGTTCCACTTCCTCCAGGAAGCTTTCTCTGATATCCATGGGAGTTAATGTTTCTCCACCCTCAAATCACCTTCTCTGTTCACATGTCACATCCCCTAAGAGAATATAAGCTCTCTGAGGGCAGTTCTCTTTTTCTCTTTTTAGTCCCAGCTAAAATCCCACCTCTTACAAGAAGCTTTTCCTGATCCCTCTTAATTCTAGTGCCTTCCTTCTGTTAATTATTTCCTATTCAACCTTGATATAGCTTGTTTTTACTTATCTGTTTGCTGTGAGCTCCTTGAGAGAAGGGACCTTCTTTTTGCTTCTTTTTGTATCCTCAGTACTTAACACAGTGCCTGGCATGTAGTGGGTGCTTAATAAATGCTTACAGACTGACTGACTCAATATTCACTACTCCATGAGGCATCTCTGTGAAGCTGGATTCTTTGTAATTTACAAAGCATTACAGAAATGCCAAGATCATGCTACATGGGAAAATATACCATGTGACACACTTGGTAAATCTAGGCATGTTAGCTTAAAGGCTAGATTTACAAAGTTATTTGAAATTTCAGGGTCTGGTCAAAGGGCCACTCAGAGCAGGCCTTAATCAGACCAGGGGATCCCAGGGAAAGCCCAGGTTTCTCCACTCCTTCTAGGTTTCCTCTTCTATCACAATGTGTCTCCAGGCTACCTTTCCAGTACTCTTACACATTCCACCCCTTTACACACTCCATGTTGCAGCCAAACTGGCCAATTTGCTGTTCTCTGAGCCAGCCATGGCACAGGCAGTCCCCCAGGGCTCACTTCTACTTTTTACAATCTCTGACTTCTTTCAAGGTTCAGTTTATGTTCTATCCTCTATAGGAACGGGCAGCCAGGGGGCAGAAGTGGATAGTGGGCCAGGCCTGGAATCAGGAAGACCTGAGTTCAAATCCAGCCTCAGACACTTCCCAGCAGTGTGACCTTGGGCAAGTCACTTAACCCTGTTTGCTTCAGTTTCCTCACCTGTAAAATGAGCTAAAGAAGGAAATAGTAAACCACTCCAGTGCCTTTGCCAAGAAAACCCCAAATGAGGTCACAAAGAGACAGACACAACTGAAAAATGACTGAACAACAACTGAACTCATATGAAGTCTTTAGTTGTTAGTACTATTACCTCAAATCATATATATGCTTTGCATCTTAAGCATCTCACTCCAGAATGTAATCTGGAGGGCAGGCAAGACTTTTGTTTTTATCTTGGTATACCCAGTATCTAGCACACATTTAGGTGCTTAACAAATACTTAAATTTTATTATACTGCTCAGCACAGATCTATCCACATGGTGTTGGTTCAGAGGCCAGTGAAGCACAGCACCTCAGAATGGCCAAGCTTTCAGAAGACATCTAATCTAACCCCTTCTCAGAGCAGGAATCTCTTCTCCATTACACAAAGCCATCCAGAATCTTCCTCAAAGACTTCAAACAGAGAAGAATCCACTGCCTCATGAAGCAATCTTTCTACTCTCGTATGGCTCTAATGGTTAGGAAGTTTATTCCTTATTATTCCACCTCCCTGTAACTTAGTGTCCTAAGTTTAGTGCTAAAGATACTTCGAGGCCATCTAGTCCAAATCTTTCACTGTTCACATGAGGAAACTGAAGTTAAGGAATTTGAACACAAAT